CAGACAGACAGACAGACAGACAGACAGACAGGTAAGTAGGCAGGCAGGCAGGCATGTAGGCAGGCAGACAGACAGGTAGGTAGGCAGGCAGACAGACAGGTAGGTAGGCAGACAGACAGGTAGGCAGTCAGACAGACAGACAGACAGACATACAGGCAGGCAGGCAGACAGACAGACAGGTAAGTAGGCAGACAGACAGACAGGTAGGCAGTCAGACAGACAGGTAGGCAGTCAGACAGACAGACATACAGGCAGGCAGGTAGGCAGGCAGGTAGGCAGGCAGGCAGGCAGGCAGGCAGGCAGGCAGGACAGACAGACAGACAGACAGACAGACAGACAGGTAGGCAAGTCAGACAAACAGGTAGGCAAGTCAGACAGGTAGGCAAGTCAGACAGGCAGACAGACAGGCAGGCAGACAGGTAGGCAGACAGACAGGTAGGCAGACAGACAGATAGGCAGACAGGCAGACAGGCAGACAGGCAGGCAGACAGGCAGGCAGGCAGGCAGGCAGGCAGACAGACAGGCAGGCAGGCAGACAGACAGACAGACAGGCAGACAGACAGGCAGGTAGGTAGGCAGACAGGCAGGTAGGTAGGCAGTCAGGCAGACAGGTAGGCAGTCAGACAGACAGGTAGGCAGACAGACAGACAGGTAGGCAGTCAGACAGACAGGTAGGCAGACAGACAGACAGGTAGGCAGACAGGTAGGCAGTCAGACAGACAGGTAGGCAGGTATGACCCTCAATGACACGACATTGTGTTGGTTGCTGATACTCACCTTTTTCAACCACGGCAAATATACCATATTCTTCAATAGACGCTTGTTTATGCACACCCATCTCATAACACAATTCTTCTACTACGTCCACAGCGACAGTACACGTCTTTGTCTTCAACATTGTTCTGATACCACCTGGTAAGACGTATTGCTGACGTTTCTGATTCCTGCCAGCTAGCATTGCTTTGACTTCTAGAGCTCCTGGAATATGTTTACGACCACCATACTTGAATGTCTTTCTCAGATTATGCAGACACACAGCGGCAGTACCATGGAATTGTCGTTCATTATCATTAGCAGCCGTCTGTAGATATTTCACTAAGTACGGTTTGAGCAATGATGTACATTGGGAATAGGATGTAAAAATTGCAAAGAAACGCCAACCACGCAAACAACTGTCACTGTAATTGAACAAACGAATTACAACAAATTACAACAAATATGATCTTGCTGTCAAAAGAATACATTACTTGGATATACAGTGTAGTTCTATTTGTTTAACTTTCACATCAAAGAACTGATGATC